ACAATGCCCCCGAGGGACGCGTTTGTTGCGCGAGTGAGAATCGAAAACGATGGAAAAGTAACGAACGAGAGAAGGAAAAAAAAAAAAACACGGGAACGCTGAAAAAATAAAACAACGAAATTAGCGATCGCTGTTTCTTCGATTAGGTTTGCAACGCGTGCGAAAGCGAAAACCATCCGATTTAATTACTTACACCCGACCCAGTTACGCGGTCCAGTGGTCACGAGGATTCTGGAAAGTTTGCGTACGTGCGAACATGATATTTCACCCGTACGGGTAAACAGGGGATTTGTTTATAAGGGCGTGTACCAGTTGTCCCAAAAGTACATTTTTTTATATTTACAATACGATACCAGATTGGATTTTGTGAAAACCGTTTGTCATTATTACAAAAACATAATAGGTAACTACAATAATATTACAATTACAAATGTTAAATTTTTTTGACAAATTACATCGCATGTTACCTACTGATAATTATAAACAGTATAATCATTATTGATTATAAACGCGCGCTGGACGGCCAAACCGAGAGTAGAACTCCTACCGGATGATCGCGGGACTTATCGCTTCGGGTGCAGCACGTCGGTGGCGGCTTGACGTCTTTCATTTTCGACTCAACGTTCAATATTTTTATACAAAAAAAGGAAGAAAAAAATTCGCTGCTCTCCAAAAGGTAAACTCGTAGGTTTTTAGTGGACAAGTAACGGGTGTTTGGTGTACAGTAAACGAACGAACCCGTAAACCGATTGCACTCGTTTCATGTGACAAGTCGACCCGCCCGTTAACATTTCTGCGAATCACGTGATTCGATTATAAATCCTTCGAGCCGTCATCGGTGTTCTGATCGAGAAGACTGCGTGTCGTTTGTAAACTTCATTGGACTTAAACCGCATTGACTGTGCGATGCAGCAAATGAGCAACAAACCACGATCACGGAATGCGGTATGGTCACACATCACGTACACGTTATGCAATGATCGAAAACAAAACTGACGAAATATTAAACTTGGCGAACTTTTTTCCCTCGTCGCCGGCCACCATGCTCGAACTGTGTAATTGATGAAACGTTTTGAAACGTTTTAATCGCATTCTTTGTTTTCCGTCAGAATTCGACGGGACAAATATTTGGGAGACGATTAGTTTTTTACACGATAAAAACTCCGACGTATCGTACTATCATAATTAACACGTGCGGTTCTTCCGATTCTCCGAAAAATGATCGAAACGAGAACACGTTACATTATAAGAAAAACAATGTACCTATATACTTCTCCCGATTTTAGTCGCTGTTAATTCGTTACGTTGAGTGCCGTAATTTGTTTTCCTCTGAAATAGTTTGATAAAAAAGTATTCAGGTTTATTTCGTTCAGAACGAATCACGAATTATTTCACATTACGTTATTATTTGTATGCGAAGAAAATGTTTTCCATCTCGGTCCATACAATACAGGATTTCGATATAAAACTTAATTGAATTTGAATTCGTTCGTTTTTGTTCTTTTTTTGGTCGAAAACGTCAATAACAAGTATTGCGCTCGAACACGATAATAAAAATAATGATGTGATCGATCACCATCCTGAATCATCTAACGCATAATACAATTTTGATCGTAACTATTTAGAAAAGATAACAACAATTTACATCGGTTAATTTAATAATCATACAAAAAAAAAAAAATAATAATAACACAGCTCTATTAGTAAATCTGGCGCCAAACGCGTAGTGTGCACGTGCACGCATTAAACACACTTGTTGCTTTAACAGTTTAACACGCATGGATTAGCGAACGATTTACGGTTCACCATTAATTCGTGTGTAAGGAAAATGTCAAAATACTTCACGAGAAAAAAACAAGTCTATTAAATTGTCTAAACTGTAAATAAAAACCGTTCACAAAAAAAAAAAAAAAAAAACACTGTTTTTTTTCTGATACACAATAAAAGAGACAATTACGTTAAATATATTCAATCATAATGTGTATACATACATCTAACATACTGCGATCACTTACGTAATTCAAATTAATCTAAATCACACGAAAGGAATTCCCTAAATAGTCACAGTAAAAAAACCTAACGGTTTTGAGTCATCGTCCAAAGATTATTTTTGATAACAATTGCAAAGACATAATAACTCGTTAAAAATATATTATAGGTTCATAAACTATTATATTTAATTTCATTTGAATAATATTTCCGTACTATTTGAGATGAATGACTAAATCATTATAATACCGTTATTATATTATTATTATATTATATTATCTTTGATGATTATTATTATCATTTTTTTTTTTTTTTTGTACCAGATGAATATTAATTAAATTTTTGGAAAACTTGAATATTATTTTAATTCCTCTGAAAACCGACATTAAATTGAACGCTATTCAAATTATTATGCGTTTTATATTACTTTTATTCATCACACATAGACAATAACGCATTTGCTAATATTTCATAAATTACGGATGTTCATCGGAACGTGTACGAAACGACTATAAGTATACGTATTTCGTTCGAGGCTAAAAAATTGGAGCAAAACCTAGTAGGTACGTGTTCTTATATTTTTCGCTGCCGCAATTAATCACTCGAAATCCAACACAATGTTTCTACTTGTTGGTAAGAAAGAAAAATACAAAACAGCTTTTCACCGGTGCACCGATGACTAAACGTAAATATGCAGTCGAAAAAATAATCGCCGATCATTCGTCTTCAAAACAAACTCTTTTGAATGGATTAAAACGCGAATACTCAATACCCCGTCAACTCGTCCGGTCAACGGAATGTGAATTGCGAACAGTCGCTACGATCACGGCTTTAAATTACCGTACATGCATAGTGGGATTTTTTTTTTTTACCGTCTCCGTCGTCGTCGCACAACGATTCACAAACCTTCGCACGCCCACCGGATTTCGACTGGAAATTTCACACGATAGACGTATTAAACCGTGATGATTTCACGTGCGTTTGGATTTGCCACGATAGGACTAACCGGTGGTAGTATCGGGAGAATCCGTTCGACACGGTCGATTCCGCGAGTTGACGACGGCCAAACGCACATGTCCGATGCGCACAGCCGACACATCAGACCGGACATCGACAATAATTTATATATTTTATTGTTGTTATTGATTATTGCTGCTGGTAAACGTTTTTTTTTTTTTTTATACCAACGCGTGTGTAAATTGTCGGTACGTGTCGTGTCGTTTCGGTCGGAATCCGTTAGATCACGAACGCGCAGAAAACTACAGCGCAACGCGATTCGAAAACGTCGATCGCGTGACCATGATCATCGTAACACCGATACCAGGTCTGACTTTAACGGGCAATACGACCCGATTCGGTTAGTGGGAAAAATCAAAAGGGCAGTTGACTTTGTGAATACGGGCGGCACCTCACAAAATTCCTTATGGAATAATTGCATTTCTACTGAGTATTTGAAGTTTGTGTCATTTATAAACCTAATAAGTAATGATTGTGTAAGTTTACAAATCTTTGCTACTTCGATGATTGATTTATCCGTCAAGTTCAAATTTAAATAGTGGTAACGGAAAAGATCCGTATTTTTTTTTAATATTTTACAGTTCAAAAATTCTAAAAGGAAAGGTCAAAATTCTAAAATATCAAACTAAAATTGATTTGGGAAGTGGGTGTAAGTATTATAATCCAAATAAATTTCACAAAACAAACCGTTCGATGTATTTGGGCAGTGGGTAAAAATTCTTAGGATGAGCCCTGATTCATGCACACGCGGTGCAGTAAACTGAAAATAATGCACGGGCGTTTCGTTTCGGGCGTAGCGCAACGAGAAAATCACTCGATGGCCATCGAGCCATTAAAATATACGACGCCGAATATCAAAGTGGCTCGTCGTCAATCATCGGTCGATCCGTCGATAGGAAACTAATTCCGACCGAAACTAATTGCGTAATGAACAAGTTCAAGTGTGCCACGCCATGTTTTTTTTTTTCTTTCTTTCTTATACATCGCGTACGTATTCGAACCGTTCGCGTACGGGAAAACGAACGGAATCGCGACGCGTTGATTTTGGGAAAACAGAGTACAGCGCGCGAAAAACAGCCGCGGTGTAAACCATGAGTTCTCAACCTTTTGTGGTCCGCGCCACCATTAAAACTGTTTTATGAGTTCACGCCCCGCCCTCTCACTACTATAAGATTGATGTACGCGTAATATTTATATTTAAACTACACTTTAATGTTGGTTATTGGATTAATAACAATACAACTTCAATGAAGTTTTTTTTTTAATATTAAATTTATTTATTTGCATAAAAAAAAAAAAAAATCGAAAACTGCGGTGAACAACACAGCGGCAAGGCACGGCGTAGAAAACGGCAACGTTTACATTTTTCGTGTTTTTTTCAACATTTTCACGCCCCCCCTGACATTTTGTCATGCCTTCCTAGGGGAAAGCCTTCCTTTTCTAACCTTCCTAGGGGGGCGCGCACCCCAAGTTAAAAACCACTAGCGTAAATGGTCCGTCCGGTGTTATACGTTGTACATGGGTTATACCGATCTCCTGCGTACGGATTTGTCACGGCGGCTACCTGTGCAGAAAAATAAAACAAAAGAACGGTGTACCTAACGGAAAGGATTGTCGCGTAAAAGGTAGGGGCGTCAGGGCCGCATACGTCTAGTCGGACTTCGCCGCGGTCTGTTGCGCAAATACTGTGCCCATTTAAAATTTGTTTTACCCCCTCCCAATGATTCCAAATAGTTTGCGCCCCAGTACAGTAATGATAAAATTTCTTTATTCGTAAATGAGCAGATAGGTGTGGGTATATGTTACTTTGGTACTTATAGCCTCCCCCCCCCAAATGTAAGCTCTAGTCGCACCTGTGTTCTTAGTTTGGGCGAGATCAATAATAATTATTATCGTTTATATGCAAGCGCAACGTAATAGCGTTGCAAACTCTTCAATCCATTATTTACTCGTTTTATGATTTGTTAATTTTTTTTTTTTTTTTTTATATTCAGTTGGAAACGAACAAATCAGCAGCACCTAGCCAAGGTTTGAAACCAACCAAATACCACTATTATCCGCACAACCAACACATATATCTGTTACCCGAGTGCGCCGTCCAACAGGTAAAATAATATTATTATCAATTGTGATTTTATAACTCCGGTACGTGCACCGAATGTTAAATGCTGATTATCGTTCGATCACAGGTTTGCAATGCCGTGTACGTGAGACTTAACTACACGCAACCCCTGTGCGCCTGTCCGTCCAGGTACAAGGAACCATGCTCCGCGTCCTTAAACGCTGACGACTTGCACACCACGGAACTGTCTACGGACACGACTGGCAAAGTAAGTGTTCAAAAATAAGTTTACATTTTTCCGATGGTCAAATTGTTTAGCCGCCACTCTTCAGAACGGTTGACCGGGTACACGCACTCGCATACACACACCGCAATTAGAATTTCGTCGAAAAAATCACACGTAAAACGCGACAATTCCGTTCACAATTGACCTATCGCGATCGACGATAAAGTCTCGTTTTGCTCTGAATATGGCGAATTCTCGGTCCGGGAGCACAAAACGTGCCACTGACACGAAGTGTGCCAACGGGAAAAAACAACGTCCCGACATGGAACGCGCATTATCACCGGCAATAAACCTGAATGTCCTTGCACGATTTCGTCCCAGTAGTCCACTGCCACTCCGCGTATTGTGCACCGCTTACGCGTAAATGTACGAACATAACAACGCGTGTTATGCGCAGCAAGCATGAGCTCGTTATACACGAATACACGGGGAAGAAACGCAGCTAAGTACAAGTTTATCGCTCCACCGATCTTGGAAACAAACAATAATACAACGATTTGGATTTCGCGTTCGTAATACGCGTGTACGTTTTGTAGATCGTTCGAAGTTAATGTTATTGTGACGGACTACGTCCGAGCGCGATCAATACGGTCACACGTGTAGAAGGAAACGAAAGAAATACACGAATATGTATAATGTTCTCGTGCAAAGAACATCGTTTTTAGATCGTTTCCAATCTAAAAACTACGATTTGTCTTACATTTTCGTGACATGCGTTAAATTCTCTTGCGTTCGTATTCTCCGTGGATTCTTTTTTACGTGCGCGCGAACATTTTATTTTATAACAGAAATTCAGTACCGTTTAATTTTTGCGCAACGTATACAGTCCACCAGCCGTAAATGTATATTAAACATCACACACACTTATACATATTATATTAACAATAAGTTCAAAGACCCGATGAGTAAAATATTATATTGATGTTTTTTTTTTGCTTTTACATGTTATTATTTCAATTCGTTTTCTTTGATGTGACGTGGAAACATGCCAGTGCACTAAATCCCGAAATATCCGTCTGAGTATATTATAAGTTTTTATCGATCTTATCTTAGGGCGAGACTATACGAGTAATAGACAACAATAATCGTGTAGAAAATTAAAACAACAGGCAGTACTACTATTCTTGTAAAACTGAAAACAACGAGTCGAATAATACACATGTGTGTAACGTACAAAAGTACGTGATCGATTGTCGTATAATAGTTTACTCAAATGACACAATCGTTTGTACACAACAGTTTTTCCAAACAAATGTATGGATATGTTTGAATACGAGGTTGTAACGTGAAGATAAACACTGGACGATGAATTGTACCGAGAAGATGGTTTATCGCAAGAAGATTTTTCAAATATTTTGTTTACACCGTACACATGTTTCGCATAATAGTCACGCACTCACGTCCAATTTATGAAAACGTGCGACTCTAATAGTATCGACAAGCTAATACGGTAATAACGAGCACCTGCGCAACAGTTATTATCTAAACATTCGAAAATTGGTGTCGTTAAACGCTGACTTCCAATCCGTTTTGTGTGAATAAGTTTCAGTATTCTATTCGTGAAAAGAAAAATGGATTATACATCGGACGAACGAACCTGTAGAACGCTGTACGGGTTTCATTCGTGTTCATGCTGACATAGAAATATATTCTGACGAGTTCGGTACAGATTACTCTGATAACGTTCCCCGCGGTGATAATTAAAACACGAGTTTTCCGCGAATCGTGCGTTATCGATCGAAAATGATTTTTGCACAACTTTCAATTTTTATATATTTATACAAACGTGTACGGATCAGCTAGCGGAAACATTCACGTCAACGTTTTATTTTATTATTTTTTACAAAACGAATGGTTATAATATTTAAACGCATACAACCCTCCATAGGTGTCCGCAAATATATTCGCGGGATACGTGTGCATACAGGATTAACACTGTCGCGACGAAAATACAAGGCCCGAAAGAACGTATCATGACGATACGGATGCGGCGAGAACGAAAACAAATCGAATGAAACGACGGTTTTAAAAAACGGAATAAAACGCGCACGGCGATACAGCGATTGTCGTACAATTTATAAGACGACGTCGAGGTGAAAAAAAAAATTGCTACGACTTTGTTTTCGTTCGATTGCGATGTGCTCGCGTGCATTAGCGTTACTTATGCGCTTGCTCTCGAACAACTCGTCACCGTGCCTAACCTAACGTGCTTTCCGAGTCGGGTCCCAGACAATGTTTATGATAAAGATAAACAACTAATTGGGTCCGATTGTAAGAACCAGTGGCGTATTTATGGGGGGGGGCCGAGGGGGCCTGGGCCCCCTCCGAAATGAAAAACACCATTGTTAAATATTGTTATTTTTAACATGGATATGTCTTAATGCTGGGGGTTTTCGAAAATTTGTCGCGACACTGAGAATGTTGCTTATGCGATAATTTAAAATTTTATATTTATAAAACATGCTTATTCTTTTAAGAAAATATGTGGTGAATTTTGAGTGACTCTAATAAAAAATTTGTTTATTACAATGTAGTTTTTATACTTTTAAAAAATAATAAATCATTAAAAATATTGAGTTTCTTATTTTTCTGATGGTGTAAAGACTGTCGAGAAGTCTTATAGTGCTAAAGTATTTTTTTTCGTAACAGTGTGCTTCCTCCTTCCTTTCCACCCAAAAATCAAATACATAATCGGCCCCCTCAGAAATGAAAACGCCACTGGTAAGAACCATAATGTTCGGTCCGACCGCTGCGCCAATAAAACACATAACTTACAATTATTGATACACTCGACAATGTTAAAGAATTAATAGATTCGAGTCTGTAAAATTACCTACCAATTGTATACGTTTTTCGATCATTTTATTTATTTATTCTCCGTATACCTGTATTCTAATTTTAAATTGATAATCATCAAGGCTCGGAAGTTGTAGCACTAAAAATGTTACTCTTTAGCTCTTAAATATGCACTTGAAAACTCTAAAATATATACTATAAATAGCACGAAAAATCAAAAAATATGCATTTAACTTGAAAGAAATGTAATTTTACAAATTGTTGGGCTCATTAGACTCAGTGTGGACTGATATAATTATAAACTGTTAACAAAAATGTTAAATTACTTAAATATAATAGTAAAAATGTACTTATTATTAAATTATTTTATATATTTACCTAGGAAATTATCCTAGATTATTAAAATGTTTGATAATCTAATGCAATCATATAATAAGGGAATAACAATGAAGTCACTAACTATTAATACATCAAATTGTCGATGAAAACATGAAATAATAATATTTGATGAAGTCCATTTATTTCCAATAAATAATAAAATATTATAAAATTATAAAAAAAATTATAAAATATAAAATCATTCCCTACATTATGTGAAAATATACCCGAAAATAGCACTGTAATCCCTAAATCAGCAAAATAGCAATAAAACCCGTAAATATGCGAGAAGTAGCAAAACTAATTGTTGTGTATGATATCCGAGTAGTGAGAAACATATTTGTACCTTACATTGGATGTTCTAAGATGAACCAAGAAAAATATGCATTTGCTAGAACTTTCAAGCTCTGATAATCCATATACCATGCATTAGAAACTTTAAAAACGTACCCGTGTTCTAATTTGTAGATAACTGACAGTCCTAAGTCTGTGAAAATAAGAAAGGAAATATTTTTATTTATTTTTTTTTTTTTTTTTTTTTTATGGACCGAACTAGTGTACTACCCGAAAGACACTAGGAATCAACTAGACTAAACATGGGTGTTCGGGACCCAACTAGCCCCGCGTTCGTACACGTGCTTTCCGGGTGTAACGTTTCGCCTCGGTTCGAAGACGGATTTCTAGACAGATGCATTCGGACGACGAGAACGCGATTGTGCAGTCGCAGAACTATACGGAAACGTTAAAACATTGAACTACATGTTGGTGAACGCATGAAATTCGAGCGAGTTCAACGGCAATACAATACACGTACTAATGTACTATTACTGTGCGTGCGCGCGCGGGTGTAACACATGTATACGTATACATATATTATATTAGTGAACAACGCACACTCGTATGTGGTCAAGATGAACAAACGGTGAAAGAAATGGTTTTTTTTTTTTTTTCGACCGTTCGTACGGAGAAAATACCGTAGAGTTTTTAGAAACATACGTACACGCGTACGTTTTGTACTCGCATACATAATTCAATTTTCACATAAAATATTGTTGTGCACGTGTGTACATTATGATTTATAAAATACGGTGTGTTAGTTTGAAATACGTAATGTTAATAAGGTACTTTTTATGTACCGCGCAATTCGTATGTGCCAGCGTCATAATTTCAAAACGAGTTTCGCATTATTCACAATTATTCCGGTGACCGAAATTTAGAGCGCATCATTGGCCAAAAAAAAAAACCAATAATATCATATTGTACGCTGCGAGTGGAATGAACTTTGGGACCGACCTATAGTGTTGGAAAAAAAACAAAAAAAAAAAAAAATACCTTAAATTTGCAACACAACCGCGGACTGATTATAGTGATAAATGTATGCAACGTACACCACAGCGGACTGATATATTTCAATTATAAATGATCAAGTACACATTAGATTTAGTTTTGTGAGAATCATTCGTAGATTTCTTTTTATTCGAACCGAAAGACTATGGAATTTCACGAATACTATGTGCCACTTAATTCTGTACATTTCATTAATTTTATTTCGGACGTTTTTCACGGTAAAAAAAAAAAAAAAAAATCGAAAAACATTGCTGCTGCATTACGACTGACGGTGTCGGTAGTTTCCCATTGTTGTCCATAACATGTAATTACTTCGTTTGATGAATATCATTAGTTATCGTTTTTTTCACGTGTTACTCGACAACGAATAAATAACCGTTGATGCATCAAAGAATTTGAAATTATTCAGCTCGAATGTGTAAACAATCATAATGCACCCGTCACTCGGAAAGAGAAAACGT